GAGAAAGAAGGAAAGAAAGAAAGACCACAGTGGTGTGTTGGACTTGCAGAGGGAGAGAACACTCCTTGGGCTACAAAGTGGAGTGGGGGGAAGGGGGAGGGAGAGGGAGGTTGGGGTTAATTGGGTGGTGGACACAGGGTACAAATGCAATTTGTGGTAATGGGTATGCTGCCAATATGAATCTGGCCCTCACATCATGGGCACGAGGGGTGACAATCAACTTGGTATCATGAATATTCATAACCAATAAAAAATAAATTAAATTAAATAAATGAAGAGTTCCAGGGCTATGAATCTTGGCCATGTTTTTCAGATGTTACCCTCACTTCTTCCCTATTGGATCCCATCCTGCCATCACCACCACCACACTTTCAGCTTGAGACATGGAATGAATGGCATACACCAGCCATTCATGGAGGACTCTTTTTGCTATAACGTATTCCTGATTCCCTCTCCCTTCTCCTGGGCTGAATAAGGTAGAAATTCATCATGAAATATGTACTGAATGTCTGGCACTAGTGTCTGGATGTACCAGGCTCTGTTAGATGTGAAGGCTACCCAGCAGAATGAAACATAATTCCTGCTCTCAGGAGCTCACAGCTTCTTGCAGCAGATGGACGCAGCTAGAGTCCAACCACATATAGTGGTACTACGATAGACGTGTATTCCTGGAGTGTGGAAACAGGAGAGGGAGGAGTCAAGGGTTCCCCTGTAGACCCCATCTCTTGTAGCCTAGACCAAAGTCAGGCCTAGCCACTTGCTCCTCACTACTTTCTCCCTTCCGCTGCCACCCAGCCAACTCAACCCTGTGCAACTCACCCTCACACAAAAGGGGTATCAGCTGAAGTCCTGACAATCTGAAAGAGGTGGTAAATGCCCTCTCACCAGTTTTCCTCTATGTGTCAAATCTGAGTGATCAGTTCCTTCACTGTATCCCCTTTGTACCCACGTAGGCTACTCAGGTGAGGACATCTCCCAAAGAGAAGAAACCCACAATGCCAGGCATTCAGGCTGCAACTGAGGAATGAGAGGACACACACGAAGAGAGGACTCACTGAAACCCTTACCCTCCTCTCACCAAAAGTTCCATCCACCCTGCGCTCCCCCACCTGCCCTTCCCCCAACAGCATGTCCACATCTGGTTTTTGATGCAAACCAGAGCATCTTCTACAGGGGTGTATGTGTGTGTGTGTGTTTTCCTGTGAGGGGAGTGGGGCGGGAAAGGGGGTGAATGGCCCACTTCCTGGACCCCGTCCCTCCATTCTGAGGGCTTACCAGGACGGGGAGGGAGAGGCGAGAGGCTTGAAGCTGCGCCTGAGTTTGTGTCTCCACTCAGATCCTGACCTGCTAGGCATACAACCAATCCTAGCCCTTTATGCTCCTCTGTTCCTATTTCACTTTATCCTCCCCACATCCTTTGCACTGCAGGAGAAGAATCTGCCCTTCCCTTTCTCCCAAGGCTCCTTCGAAGGAGACAAAATTTTTCTAACCCCATTAAAGCCATCACCTTAATTTAAGCAGATCTCCTCTGCCTCAAGAGTTCCTTAGGGAAATAAACATATAATTAAGTGCTTAAGGAAATCACGTTTTAAATAAGTAAGAGTTGACTTGAAATGAAAAACTCTGTCCTTATTCTTCCTTCTACCTTCGGAGGTTAGCCTGAGGCTCCCTTTGGGCTCATTCCTATCCCCATATTTTTGCCTTCTCGTCACCCCCATTTCTGTATACGGCCATCAATGAGGGGAAAGAGACTAGCCATGACCCCTCTCCTTTCTACACTGAGGTAGATTATCAGTGGGAGAAACAAGCCACTTCCATCTAAAAAGAATATTTGCATCAGACCAGGGTTTCTCAACCTCAGCACTATTGACATTTGGGGCTGGATAATTCTTTGCTGTGGGGACCATCCTGTGCATTGTAGGATGTTTAGCAGCATCCCTAGCTTGTCTCTACACATTGCCAGGTGTCCCCTGGGAAAGCAAAATCAGCCCAGTTGAGAACCACTGCATCAGACCAAGCACCAGGTGCATTTCCTGTGGGAGCAGAGGTGGAAACATACTTGGGAATTTCTCCTGTGAATACACACATCTTAACAGGGGAGAAGGGGCCAACTCAAACACTGTTACCTTTAAAAATGCCAGTGTCTGGCAGCCATCCCCAGTCCCTCAACCTTGTCACAGGCTGGTTTTCCAAGATGGGGACAGACACCCCTAGCTTTGTATATTCAGGAAGGTTTTATTCTCCATGAGTTGCTAGTGGGCGTAGCTGCAATAACATCTACTCCCTCCCCCATGGTTTTTAAAGTTTCATTTGTGTTTATTCTGTGGTATGTGATCAGAGTTCTCTACTGAACAGAAGCTTTCTGTCTAAAAGGCATCTCTCCATATGTCTTGGGCTCTGGTTCCTCTCCCAGAAAATTGTTTGGATGCAGAAACAACTGGAGTCAGGATGGAAGGACAACCAGCCACATTTTTTTTTAAAACAGTTAAAGGTTTTTTAGGTTTTTTTTTAAGTTGTAACCTTAGACAAAATTATTTAAAGTCAATAAATTGTATTCAAGGAATTTCACATGTGATTTCTTCCACTGCCTATCAAGCTCATCTCTAGAGCTTCAGTCAAGATGGATCTTCAACATAGCCCTTTTTAAAAGAACTGATGTTTAATCCACGGTTGTTCTTTCAGACACTCTTCTTTGAGAAGTTTCCTCCCCATCCTGGTTTTCCTACCTCCACTTCCCATGCAGGACTCCTTGACTGGGGTCCTTCTGCTCTCTGGGTTCTAGGTTCCATGCCTACCTTGCAGGCCATGTGTCCCAGTACATGCAGAGAGGACTAGAATGGGGAAATAGGCCCACACCCTGCATACACACAGAAGCTGCCCAACATCTCCTTGGGAGCTCTACCTGGTCACCACCTTTACAGCCTGAGCCTTACGGCTGTTCATAACGTGTAGGGATCTGGTCCATGTGGGGGCTGGGGGGATGGAAGGGGTGCTTATCACTGATCCTCCTCTGGCTGAGGAGGTCTGTTCCTCATGCACACCTGCTACCTGCTCCCCATTATCCCCAAGATCAGGTCTTCCCAGGGCAATGGTGAGCATGTTGCCTGGGCAGGGATTTGATCCAAACCATAAACCATTTCCCAGAATGAACTGCACGCATCTGCCAAGCTTCAGATCAAAACTTTTGCAGTCTGTATCTTGCCATTCTTAGTGAGAAGGAAACTAATTTGGTCTCACAGGATTGTTTTGTCACAAAACAATGTCAATTACCACTAATGCGTTTCACATTTTGTTGTGACCCTCCTTTGCTTACATGTAAGTAAAGTGATCATAATCACCATCATTTATAAAGTAAATGCTTTCCATGTAACAGGTGTTTTACATATATCACTTTATATTATTTTACCCTTATAGCAACTCTGCAAGGTAGGTATTTTCCCCTTTTTATAGAGGAGAGAACTGAGATTTAGAGAGATGAGAAGCATGTCTGAAGGACACACTCGTATTGAAGGAGCTGGAATATAAACCCACATTGTAACTTTAAAGCTCAAGCTTCTTTGACCAGATATCCTGCCTGCCAAGATTTTCCCTGGTTGCAGTGACACAGAGGAGTCTGCCTTCATGATCAGACCATGGCCTCCTATGACCACTCTCTTCATTCTCTTTGGAGGCCAGAGAACAACTTTGCATCTGACGGTGGAGTCAATAACACCTGAATTATGAGCTGCTCTTTAAAATGTGGCCTGAGTATTTAAGGCCAAAACACTGAAACTGATTCAACACAGCAGTTCTGTCACATCCACTATTATCTAATTCAGAGCATGCAGAGGTCCTCACGCAGCATGACAGTCTTGAGGTATGTGTGACTGGCATCGAGTCCTCAAAAATGTCTTTTTATGTCTGATGATTTATTGAAAACCCTAATACCCTTTCTGGTTTTGTTGTTGTTTGAGCTCTTAATGCATGCCACACACTTGCCAAGTGCTTCACAGACATTATCTCATTACCTCCTGAAAATAAACCCTATGAACAAAGCGCTATTACAATAACCAGTGCACAGAGAAGTAAACTGAGACCGAGAGAGTTTAAGTAACCTGCCCAGTCACATGGTAGAACAGGATTTAAACTTGGATCTGTCTTACCATAAACTGCCTTCTTTCTTGGGAGCAGAGAGAAGAGACTTCATTGTAATTAGAAAATATATAACAGCATCTTGTGTCCCCCAGAATTGAGGCATTTGGACTCCCAGGGCCATCAGTGGAGCTCTCAGACGGCATGGCTTCCGCAACACTTCAACCCAGGTATTCGGTAGCACAGCTGTGACGTGGGAGTGTGCTGGCTGCCAGCACAGGCATCATCCCTAACAGGCTTCTGCTCAAGCCTCCAATACCATCAAAAATATAGTCCCCTGTTGATTTAGAAATGAATTATAAGCACTTCTTCCATTACTTTTAAGTTTTTCTTCAGCTGTTATGGATTCAAGGCATATTCTTGAGAAAGCAGCATGCCTGTCCAAGCAAGCAGAAATTTAAGAAACACTTTGGTGCATATGCATGTCTGAAATTGATAATTTATTTACAACCTTGATAGCATGGTCCTGTGTGCCAATAAATTGCTTAAATCATTTCAGCCACTCTCTCACCCTGTTTTTCCCTTGACTTATTCTGTCACCATGGATATGTGATTATGAAACAAATTGGTGATGTCACCTCTGAGTTTTCATTATGTGGCATTCAGTATGGCAAACAGTTCTGGGATTATTTTCCCCCTAGCTTTTATAATAAACACACCACTGTCTCTTTTAACCAATATAAATTGAGTAGTAACTCCACTGCAAACCCAAGGTGGCTCTCTGGGAAATAATCATGCATGCAGCATCCCACACGCAATGCTGCTCACCTCCTTCAGTAGCTTTTTTGTGCCATCCCATCCAAAATAAATTCACTGATTTGAAAGTTTTCTGTTGGCATCCTTCATGAGAGATAGCTTGGGTTGGGTGCAGCCTACAGCCATGGAATAGAATTAAATAAAGTAGCCACACTGGGATCAAGCCCACAGGCAGAACTGTGTCATTCTTGACCATAACCTATAAGGATCTAAAGAATCCAGTCTTTTCCTCAATCTCCTCCATCACCTCATACACTCCCTTCTTCCACAGCCTTTGTTCTCTCTACCTGTTTTGGGGGTCCCCAAAACCACTTTCAGGTTAGATGATTCACTAGAAGGACTCACAGAACTCAGGAAAACNCACTGAAACTGATTCAACACAGCAGTTCTGTCACATCCACTATTATCTAATTCAGAGCATGTAGAGGTCCTCACGCAGCATGACAGTCTTGAGGTATGTGTGACTGGCATCGAGTCCTCAAAAATGTCTTTTTATGTCTGATGATTTATTGAAAACCCTAATACCCTTTCTGGTTTTGTTGTTGTTTGAGCTCTTAATGCATGCCACACACTTGCCAAGTGCTTCACAGACATTATCTCATTACCTCCTGAAAATAAACCCTATGAACAAAGCGCTATTACAATAACCAGTGCACAGAGAAGTAAACTGAGACCGAGAGAGTTTAAGTAACCTGCCCAGTCACATGGTAGAACAGGATTTAAACTTGGATCTGTCTTACCATAAACTGCCTTCTTTCTTGGGAGCAGAGAGAAGAGACTTCATTGTAATTAGAAAATATATAACAGCATCTTGTGTCCCCCAGAATTGAGGCATTTGGACTCCCAGGGCCATCAGTGGAGCTCTCAGACGGCATGGCTTCCGCAACACTTCAACCCAGGTATTCGGTAGCACAGCTGTGACGTGGGAGTGTGCTGGCTGCCAGCACAGGCATCATCCCTAACAGGCTTCTGCTCAAGCCTCCAATACCATCAAAAATATAGTCCCCTGTTGATTTAGAAATGAATTATAAGCACTTCTTCCATTACTTTTAAGTTTTTCTTCAGCTGTTATGGATTCAAGGCATATTCTTGAGAAAGCAGCATGCCTGTCCAAGCAAGCAGAAATTTAAGAAACACTTTGGTGCATATGCATGTCTGAAATTGATAATTTATTTACAACCTTGATAGCATGGTCCTGTGTGCCAATAAATTGCTTAAATCATTTCAGCCACTCTCTCACCCTGTTTTTCCCTTGACTTATTCTGTCACCATGGATATGTGATTATGAAACAAATTGGTGATGTCACCTCTGAGTTTTCATTATGTGGCATTCAGTATGGCAAACAGTTCTGGGATTATTTTCCCCCTAGCTTTTATAATAAACACACCACTGTCTCTTTTAACCAATATAAATTGAGTAGTAACTCCACTGCAAACCCAAGGTGGCTCTCTGGGAAATAATCATGCATGCAGCATCCCACACGCAATGCTGCTCACCTCCTTCAGTAGCTTTTTTGTGCCATCCCATCCAAAATAAATTCACTGATTTGAAAGTTTTCTGTTGGCATCCTTCATGAGAGATAGCTTGGGTTGGGTGCAGCCTACAGCCATGGAATAGAATTAAATAAAGTAGCCACACTGGGATCAAGCCCACAGGCAGAACTGTGTCATTCTTGACCATAACCTATAAGGATCTAAAGAATCCAGTCTTACAGCCATGGAATAGAATTAAATAAAGTAGCCACACTGGGATCAAGCCCACAGGCAGAACTATGTCATTCTTGACCATAACCTATAAGGATCTAAAGAATCCAGTCCTTTCCTCAATCTCCTCCATCACCTCATACACTCCCTTCTTCCACAGCCTTTGTTCTCTCTACCTGTTTTGGGGGTCCCCAAAACCACTTTCAGGTTAGATGATTCACTAGAAGGACTCACAGAACTCAGGAAAACTGTTATTACAGTGAAAGGATACAGATTAAAATCAGCAAAGGAAAAAAGAATGTGGGGCAGAGTCCAGAAGAAAACAGGTGCAAGCTTCCAGTTGCCCTCTCCCAGTGGAGTCACATGGATGGTGCTTAATTCTCCCAGCAACAGTTCGTGACAACACATACAAAATATTGCTAACGATGGATGTTTACCTGAACCTTGGTATCCAGACTTTTTATTGGGGGTCAGTCATATAGGCATGCAGCATTCACATGACTAACCTAGTTACTCAGTCTTCAGCCCCAACAGAGTTCAAACTGAAGCAGCATGGCCCAAAGCAGCCTAGGTATATAAAAACTGGTGTTCACCATAAATCACGTTGTTAGTATAGGCTATCTGGTCTGGTATTCAAAGACACTCTTATCAGGTAGGATATTGAAGGGGCTCAGATGTCTCAGGATCTGGTCAAGGCAGGCAGTCCTGAAGACCTTTGGAATGTACAGGGTTTAGGAAACTCAGGCCTGCTGAGCTCACACTTTACTGCACACTATCAGGTACTTTGTATTCTCTCCACTTGATAGTCTGGGCACATGTTATGCCCTTTGACTGGAATGCTTTGTTCCCCAACACTTTGCCTAGCTCCCAACTCCTACTGACCCAGTTCAAACATCACTTCCTCAGGGAAAGATTTCCAACAGCCTACCACATTTTCCTAAAGCATCTGTCTTTCTACTTTTAGGCCCTTTG